CTAGCATTACTTAAGTACTGACTTGAAAAATAATATTATATATTAGTCATTAATATCGTCAGGAACAGAATATGGGGTTGGATTGCACTAAGTTTAGGAGGTAGTCTAGAATTTGCAATGTTAGCTTCAGAAAACAGAATATGAGAGGTGACTTTTGATGCTGGCATACGCTGCAAGTATAGTGTCAAAAAAGAATGGTGTCTAGCATCATGACAGTGAAATAAATCATTTATTGAGGATATGCAAATGTCGCTTTTAATTTTGATTATGTGCGGATTCTTTAATGACCGATATTTTTTCTAGGTAATCTGGTGAAACGCTACCCATGTTCATGGTGGTTTTACTGAGGAGTTTGGCATCGCAACAAAGGTTTTACTTTTCAACAGTCAGCAGAGAAGGAGTTGTAAATATTGACCGTTTACGTCTTTTCTTATCTGCAGGACATGGAGGATTAGGGTTAAAACGATTCAATGGTGTTGGAGGAGATGGTGGTGATGTAATCTTAATTCCAGATCCAAAGATGTCATTAGAAACCATGGTGAAGAACGTCAAAGGCACTATAGTGAATGTGAAGGCTGGAAATGGCATGAATGCATCACATACATGTCTTGTTGCGAGTAGAGGACGAAGTAAAATTCTTCGAGTTCCACTAGGTGTTGATGTAATTAACACAGAAACAAAATTGTTGGTAGCGCGATGTTCTCGACCCTTTTTCAATTATGTAGTGGCTCGTGGAGGTCAAGGAGCCTGTGCTGAAAATTGTTTCCAAGCTAGCAGTGGTGACCGTTTTTTAGCTGATCTGCACCTTAAACTTCATGCAAATATTGGTCTCGTTGGGTTTCCTAATGCTGGAAAGTCCACACTGATGAAAGCTTTAATACCCAAAAAGTGCGTCAAAATTGCCTGTTATCCGTTCACAACGCTTAAACCACAGATTGGACATGTTACTAATTTTGAAAACGAATCAGAATCGTCTAATTTGAATGAAGACAGATTTAGTTTGTCGCTTGCTGACTTTCCAGGTCTCATTGAAGGGGCAGCTGCAAATCGTGGAAGAGGTCGACACTTTTTAAAGCATTTAGAAAACAGTGATATATTATTGTTAGTTGTTGATGTATTTGGTTTCAAACTTGATTTATCATTTAGCAATGCATATCGCAGTGCTTTGGAAACTATTGCACTCTTGAATATTGAATTGGAGAAGTATGATACATCTTTGGTGACGAAACCAGCAATTGTTGCTTTAAATAAGATTGATTTACCTGGGGGCGAAGAGAATGCAGAAGAGCTCGTAAGAATATTGCAAAGGAAAGATTGGTCTACATTAGTATCAGCAGAAATCCGACCACAGCGACCACTATCCTTACGAACAGCGATACCAATTGCAGCCAAGGATTGTCGTTTGGGAAGTTTGAAGAAGGAACTGAAAGAAATCTATGAACGGATGAACCCTTTGACAGATTGTGGAGAAATGAGTTTCAAGAAGAAATTTGTACTTGCTTAAGTAGTCTTGGTTACTTTTGGTAATGAAGAATTATTGCTGCTATGTGGGTTAGTTAATATGTTCTCTTTGCTCGCTTTTCGACACTTTTATTCAGAAACCAATTCTTGAGGATGACGTATTTAGTAAGATATGTTTGACTTATGATTTTTCACATGTTTGTTATGTATTGTAAAATATCGAATTCTGTAAAATAGTCAGAGTTCAATTTGTATATGCTTTGTATTTATCTCATCTAAGTTTATTAATTTAACGATTCATATTTGTTTTTATTGCTATTTTATCAGTTGGATTTGTGATTCGATAAATTAAGTATTGCTTGAGTAATGAAACAGCTATTATCAAATAAATATTAAGAATCTTTGTCATGTCAGGCTATTTCATATATGTTCAGTCTATAAAATACTTCAACACTGGCGACAATTCAAAATGTGGTGTGGATTCAACACAAATACTTTGAGTTCAATTTTATTTACAGGACTACTTGCAATTTATGTTTTCAAATTCTATCACTTTTCAAAAGAGGCATGTTGCACCGTTGGGCACATCTTTGATTATAGTATATCAAGTGATATTTGAGTAATACAGGTTCGGGTTAGCATATGACACCTGGTAAGAACGAAAGGCGTAAACGTGGTCGTTGGGAACAGTACAATGCAGATTTTAATGCAGATGATAGCTCGCAATCTAGCAGTTTGTGGGAAAAAGGCAATTCAAATGATAAGGATGTCGTAGGTGAACGTTTTAGATTGGCTTTTATTGAAAATTTTTCATTAGATTTTCTACGATCTATAACGCATTTTACTATGTTTTCGTATAATTTACGTGCATTATTTTTTCAAGTTTTGCAGCAATGAAAAAAGTATCGTGAAACCAAAATTTGTATCACTTAAAGGTCATTATAAAATCCCCTTAACATTCTGCATCGACGACTAACTATTCTTGAAAGCTTCCAAAGCTAAACATAACGATTTTGAAACTTAAGTACCTAAAAGCTTTTAAAGCTGGCCATTTTGTTATTACACAAACTTTGTATTAAACTCGAAGATTTTGAAAGTTAATAGCTAGAAGTTTTTTGAAAACGTGCTCAAAGTAAATATAACCCATACTAAAGAAAATAAATTGAAAATCAGTATATTTAAAATTTTTCAAAATGCAATTTCTTTTCAGTACCAAAAGCAGCAAGTAATAGTTTAGAAAATCAAATAGTAACCTCTCGCGTGGACGAATTTGGTGCAAAAGATTATAGACATGAAATGAAATTAAAGTCTGATCATGAGGCACGACCTCTTTGGGTTGCTCCAGATGGTCATATCTTTTTGGAATCTCTTAGCCCCGTGTATAAACATGCTCACGATTTTTTGATTGCTATTTCTGAGGTAAGGTTTTCTAGCGCAAATGAAAATTATTATTGAAGATTCTAGGCAAGTAATATAGTTTGTCAAATTCTGTCCAAAAGTGCGCAAGAAATGGAAACGAGTTCCCAAATTTTCATCGTTATAGAACCAATTTGGCAGTACACATAATCTGTATTCGAGAAATAAGTTATACATGTAATATTGCGTGAAATTATTGCTTGATTTTATTTTATTCAAATGAAATTTTGAAGATTGTTTAGCCTGTATGTCGACCAGAATTTATTCACGAATATCAGCTTACCGCGTATTCATTATACGCTGCTGTGTCTATCGGATTACAAACCAATGATATTATCGAATATTTGGAACGTTTGTCCAAATCTTCCTTACCGAAAGGGATTATAGAATTTATTAAAGTAAGAACGTAAACGTTTTCGATTTTTCTTTTAACTGGCCTTAGATGGATTTTGTAATGATTTGATTGCAACATATTTCACCAAATTATCCGTGGAATATCTTCTCCATCATTGATAAAGGAGTAATGATTTGTATTATTTTGTCCAGCTGAAGTGATAGGGATTCCGTAAGCAAGCGGTTTGTAAGAAATGAATCAGGTGGTGTAAGTTTCTTGAAATCGAAGTAAATGTTAAAGTCACGAAATAACATTTATTTAAATTTTATTTTACTGAATAGTTTTGATTTACTTTCAGATGTGCACTGTCAGCTATGGTAAAGTGAAATTGGTTCTAAAATATAACCGTTACTTCATTGAGTCACGTCATTCGGATGTTGTACAAACTTTACTGAAGGATAAAGTAATTCAACAGTGCCTTGCTGAGGATAAGCCGGCGATGAAAGTGCCGCAAACAGTAAGTTACTATGGGCTGAAAATATTCTTTATTTATTTATTGTTTTATGTAATAATTTTAGACTTCATTTAGTTAATTTTAAATGAGCAAGAAGGTTTTATTAGTTTTGACTTTTTAGTCATATTTTTAAAACTTGATAACATCGCTCTTCCAAAAGGAGAGCAAGATATCTGAAAATATTCATTTACGATAATGGTAATCAGCATTCAAAGAACTTTAAATTTAAAGCTTCAAATGTTAGTGGATGATGCTTTAGTATAACGTTACCAACTTCATTTAAGACTGATATTAGGTTTGTGAATTCGTGTTTCAGGACATTAACTTGAGTAAAATTCAAATTCCGGGGACCCAGAAGCAATTGCAAGAAAGTAAAGAAAAGGAAATGGAGAAAACGAATGAGGTGCCAGAAGATATCAACTCCTATTACGGAAAACTGGATGGTGATGATGACGAAGATGAAGAAGCTATTAAAAACCTTCAACTGCTTACATTTGAAGTAAAATCAGAGCTATATTTTAGACTGCAATTGATGGGAGCGTAGTTTTCTATCATGATTATGTTTCTTGTAAAAAAACGATATTTTCGTGATTTACAAAGTATTTGTCTGTGTTGAAGTATTTTTATCACTAAAGGCTTTTTTATGGGGAGTAAAATACTTCTGCAGATTAAGCAAGAATCAATTGAAATTGTGCAAAAAAGGTGCATAGAGTTGGAGTATCCATTATTGGCAGAATACGATTTTCGCAATGATACCTTTAACGAAAATTTGGGAATCGATCTTAAACCGTCCACTACTCTGAGGTATTCGAAAAGATATTATTTGCAGTTAGTTCTATGTTGAGTACTCTATCATAATTTGCTCACATTACATGTACATTGTACAAAATCGTGTTTCTAGACCTTATCAGGAGAAGAGTCTGCGGAAAATGTTTGGTAATAGTCGTGCTCGTTCCGGAGTTATTGTGTTGCCGTGTGGTGCTGGCAAAACACTAGTTGGTGTTACTGCAGCAACAACTGTTAACAAGCGGTGCTTGGTGCTCGCTACATCAAATGTTTCCGTAGAACAGTGGCGTGGTCAGTTCAAAGTGAGTAGTTTGTGATCCGTTTTTGCTCTATCAATCTGTAAACTGCATCCTTTCTTTTAAATATTAAAGGACAAAACAGTGGTTTTTTTTGCTATTTTTAAGACTTGCTTTTTATCTGATGATCTGATGATTTTTTCCCAATCTGATGATTTGTCACTTGCACAAAAATTAAAAACCTTCTAATTTCCAGCTCTGGTCTACTATTCGAGATGATCAGTTAATTCGATTTACTCGTGAAGCACGGGATCCCGTACCCTCTGGGACAAATGCTAACAAGCCAATTGTGTGCATAAGTACGTATTCTATGGTTGCTTACACTGGAAAGCGAACATATGCTGCTGAAGAAGCTATGAAATACATTGAAAGTCGGGAATGGGGGCTTGTATTACTCGATGGTTTGTAGTTTGTCTTTTTAAATAAAATTTCAAGCATCGGCGTGTTTTAGATCTTCATATACGTTTATTGTATTTTTCGCGGATGCTGTTTTAGTGGAGGCAAAACTATTTGTAGAAGTTCATACGATACCAGCTAAAATGTTCCGGCGAGTACTGACTATCGTGCGAGCACATTGTAAATTGGGATTAACGGCAACATTAGTTCGTGAGGATGATAAGATTACTGATTTGAATTTTTTGATCGGTCCGAAGATTTATGAAGCAAACTGGATGGAACTTGAAAAGGCAGGACATATTGCAAAAGTCCAGTGCGCTGAGGTAATATTTTTGTGATTAGAATGATATTATTACTTGTTTAATTCTTAGTAGGTTTCAATGTAGAACTTAATTTTATGGGATGCATTTAATCTTCACTAGTAATTAATGTCATTTTCATTCATTAATTTCTAGGTCTGGTGTCCAATGACTGCCGAATTTTATTCTTACTATTTGCGTGCTCAGATTGGTCGTCGTCTTCTGTTAGCTGTGATGAATCCTAACAAGTTTCGAATATGTCATTTCTTGATCAAATATCACGAGCGCCGCAATGATAAGGTTTGCTTCTCAGTTGCTTATGAAGCTTTCCGGATCAGAAACGATTATAGTGTACTATGATGCAAAACTTAGCAATAATATAAAGAAATGTTCGATATATGAAACACTACAAAATAATGCTCACAGAGGGTTCTAATTGCGGAAAGCTTCATAAGCAACTGATTTTTTTTACCAGAAGTAATTTGATTGTGTAAGCTAATAATTCTCATGCAACCAACAGTTGAATATGATTTAAGATTATCGTCTTCTCAGACAATGTGTTCGCTTTAAAAAAATATGCGATAGAAATGGATAAACCATTTTTGTACGGTGAAACAGGACAAAATGAACGAATGAAGATTCTACAGAATTTCCAGTACAACCCAAGAGTGAATACAATCTTCGTGTCGAAGGTGGTTTATGACTAAGTTTAGATAGGAATGGTTCAACTGTTTTATTCTTTTCACTTTAATTTACAGGTGGCGGATACGTCATTTGACTTACCTGAAGCTAATGTTTTGATCCAAATATCAGCACAAGGTGGTTCTCGAAGGCAAGAGGCACAACGATTGGGCCGCATATTGAGAGCAAAAAAGAACTCCAGTGATACCTTTAACGCTTTTTTCTACTCACTTGTTTCACAGGTGAAGTTCTGAATCACCATTCATTATAAAACTCTATTCCCCTTTTCTTACTATTAAAATTTGATCATAAATGTTTTAAAGGATACAGTTGAAATGAGTTACTCTCGAAAACGTCAGCGCTTCTTGGTGAATCAAGGATATGCATACAAAGTCAGTCTTCTGTCAAATTTATTAGAGTTAAATCTTAGTAACGTTTGCTAGTGATTCTCATGGAATCGAATTTTAGTTTACAGTTAACTGCGGCAAAATGTTGTGCCTTTTCAAACTCACTACAGGTTGTGAACCGATTGCCAGGAATGGAGAAAGAAGTCTTGAAGTTGGCTACTAAAGATTCCCAACTTCTGTTGCTGCAACAGGTTCTAGCTGCTACGGATGCAGATGCCGAAGAAGAAGATATGAAAGAGGAAAGTGTAGATGGTTCGAGGGAAGCAAAAGTAAGATAATGAATCAGTTTAGCTTAGATTAACAAGGATGTGCTCTTGTGCACCAAAGTTCAACTGATTCTATTAAATTTCTTCATGAAAATGAACACAGTGTAGAGTACTACTTAGCTGAGTAGAAAACTAATCCTATAATATCACAATCTCTTATTTGTTTATTTGTATTCAGATAATGCGAAAAGAAGGATCTTTTTCTTCGTTCTCTGGGAGTAGTTCTATTTCATATACACAGAAAACACGCACTGTTAAAGAAGAAGATCGACATCCGTTATTTAGAAGATTTCGAGCTATCAAATAATTTTATCACCTTTATTGTTTACAAATAAATGCATGTGACCAAAATAGTGACATTTCAACTTAAGAGAATCATTTATTATATGTGAATATGATATAAAGCAGGAGGTTATCACTCTTCTGTTTGTTGGGCACACTTCCGCAGGATGTTCCTTACTGTTCTGTTACCTAATATCTTGAAACTATAAATAAACAGCAAACATGCTATGAAGAGCGAAATTCATCTACCAAGCAATAGCAGTCAGTTCTCATTTCGTAACAACAGGCTTGAGTTTAGACTTCAGGAAACATGAGATAATTTGAAGCTCCTTTACTAACAGCATACCTCAAAAGTGTTTAAATTGGAATTTAGTATATCTCATTTAATTCGAGTTGAAAACAAAACCTGTGGTACGTCAGGCTGACGACTGACGGATGCGATTACTTCTGTACTTGTTTGAGGGCCATAAGCCGATAACACATTCATATTCTTCACTGCGGTATTACTGGCGACTGATAAAATTTTTGTAACAGCACTGGTCTGAAATTCCGGCACTAACAGATAAAATTAACTGGGAAGAGTTGAAAATCAAAAATCGACCTGCTGTTGTTGATACTGATGTCCAATAGATGATGAAAATGAATGGAAGGCTTGGGTATTAACTCGTAATTGAGCTGCATTTTGGATAGATGTGGGTGCCAAATAATTTGGAGGTACTGTTATATGTTCGTTACTTTCTGAGACCTATAATGTGATCATTAATAAAAACCATGATTTTTACGGTAAATCTTTTTGTCAAAAAACGGAATCTACTGAACCTTCATTCGATCAATTTTGCTATAGAAGAGATGCGTGTTTTTAGCTAATATTAATTCTCTCATTAATCCTAATATGTCATTAAAGTCCAATGAATCATATGAAAAAACAATTAAAATATTACGGCAGTACATTTTTAGAAAATGTGAAATTGCGAACATAAATGTGAGTAGCTGCAGGTGGCGTGGCAATATTATTAGCAGATATAGAAACTGCTGACGGTGAAACAGGTACCAAATTCGTTGACAAAGCTGAATTCACAACTGCAATTCATTTCAGTATGAAATTCACAAATACAACCTAAATTTATAGGTTTATTGCTAGAACATTCAAATTACCGCTGTTGATTCGCTGATGCGTTTGTTGAACATGATTATTTAACCCAACAATAGTCTTGTATCGCTTTGAACATTGGCTGCACTTATAAGGACGTAAGCTGAAAGTTTTTAAACAATGTAATACGAGTCTATATTAAGTTTTTCGCAGTAAAAAGTTGATAATTTACATCAAATATTAAGCTGAAACTTGACGAAATTAAGTGACTGAAAATTCCAGCTGTATTTTTAAAAAATAAAAGAAATTAAAAATTAGTCACTATTTCCACAATATCAAGTTCGTAAAAATTACATAATCAGATTTACTGAAAGAATAACTGACTTTGAATATTTGCTGCTGGTACCCCGTATTAATGGCGCAACTTGCCCAGGGACTGCTGCAGTCAAGTCAAATGACACTGCGCTGTTTGCGTTGTTACTGTCATCATACCCATGTATTTGACGCGCGTGATAACGTGCTCCTTGCAAATTTTTATATCGCTTGTTGCATCCTTCAACTGGACACTTGTAGCGTCTTTCATCAGTCCTAAACATTTGTACACGTTCATAATAGATTAATAAATTTATAAGTCTCAAGCATGCTGCAAGCTTCGACACATTCCAAACTTTTCATGTCAAAGTGACATAAAATATACATGAGCCATCACAAGCATTTTTAAAACATTCAAATGCGGCTTTTAATCTTCCAGCAGTAATGAACATAGACAAAATATAAATTAACTAAACCTACCCCTTCTCATGATCCACACACTCTTGACTTTTGTGTGGGTCATTTGATATTTCACGTTGATCTGATAAATATTAGTGGTTAATAAATGCAGCATAGTTTTTTCTACAAAAATGAGCAGAAAAAGTGGCAAGTATGAGCATTTTCCAAGTACTTGACAGCAATGCACTGTATATATATAATTATATTGGCAATTCGGGTAACAAGTAGCACAAGAAAATTTACCAAAGCGCTTAATTCCAGAATATCCGTGACCTATTCCATTAGTAACTGCAGAAAGTATTGGTTTTTTTCTAGAAAAACGTGCAACTGGCCTAAAAATTGACTATCTATTCAATATGTGAGAAACTCACACGATTACTGCATAAACAGATCTGAGACACAAAATTAGTAACGATGAGGTTTCTATGACATGCATCATAATACAGAAATAACAAGCAAACACGATACGACAAAAAGCAAACCCAAAACTAACCTGTAGTGACCAATTGCAAGTTTAATAATTTCACGTTTGATTGGAACAGGTTTCTCCGGTGGAAGCTTTCTGAAGAATCTAAAAATATATCCGAATTTTTAAAAAATTCTTAGGAAAGATTTTAAATATTTTTAACTGCATTCGTACACATTAAAAATCATTAAATAATTTATATTTTCATTTCACAGAAAATTTTTTTTTGTGAATTATTGGTTAATCTGAAATAAAAGTAGCTTAAAACGCATCTTACAACAGCTTCAACAAGACCTGTTTGATTTATAGAAAGGAATAATGAAAATACCTATGAACAACGCTTAGAGGATATCCCACTTCAATTTCATCTTTTGAAGAATCTTCTTCTGATTCTGTTGTTTTAATAGTATGTTCCTCTTTCATCATTTTCTCTTCTATTGGAGCTGAATTTAAATGCAGATTATGGCTCATATGTTCTAATAGTTTTCATCTGCTATCAATTTGATGAAAGCAAATGAAATCCAAGCTGCTGAGCTGAGGCTATAAACAAAGATATTTCACTACGTTCCAAGATACTGAAACACTTCAAGGCTTATTTAAACAATTAATTTTCGGGAAAAAGTGAAGCAGCGGGGAATGATTCTAAAAGTAACAAAGTAAAAGTCTTGGAGATGATACGAGATATTTCCGTGCGTGAAAACAGGAACTTACATAAATTTGCAAAAAATGAAAAGAATACTCACGGATGTGGACATCCTCTATGTGATGCAGCAAATCATGAAGGTTAGCAAAGCGAAGTCCACAATCATCGAATTGGCAAACGTTCACGTTCAGCAATGATAAACACATATTCCTGATGAAAAAATAACGCTAAAGGTTGCAACTTCGTTTGAAAGATCGGTAATCAGTATACCTAATAAGTCGCATACATAGCTCGGAACAGCAGGAAACTGTTCTCGTCCACTGCTACTAGTAACCACCACTGCCCCTCCATTCACTCTCCCCCATCTATCCAGCAACTCTCTCTTTCTTTATGCTATCCACTTTAATTCACTGTCATGTCCCAAAGCTACCCTCCATTTTACGAGAGTGTTCGTTACACGTTTCTCATTAAAAGCTACGACAAATTTCTCTGCTTGAAAAATCTTCATTACTAAGTTCTATACTCAACTAACAAAGTCATTAAGCACTTTCACAAAAGTCATATTTAGTAATTTAGTTAATATACTTTGTATAGTTAATTAATCAAATTTAATTCTTAGTTGCAATAGATACTATGAGTTTTACAATGTTTACTTAGCCCTGGTATTTCGGGTATGGTATTGTCACAGCACATGTTTAGTTTTGAGAGCGCTTATGTCTATTGCATTTACTCTTTGTTCTCTGTCCTGCTGGTCTCTGGGGCAAATGAGACACTTAAATGTTCCGTATATATTTGAATGCATGTCAACAATCGTCGCTTTTAGCTTGTCATTTTGACGTGTCGTAGAAACTCACGTGGAATACGACATTATGACTTACTTGTTTGTTCCTCGAGTATGAGCAGTGCGACGCGATCATTACGTCGTTCTCGACGAAATTTTGACACGGCAACGACAAGTGTTGTAGATTCAGATGGCACAGTAACAATTGGTTCATCCGATGGTGACTGGTCTCCTCCAGTAAGTTTCATATTATTTTTCTGCATAACTTGTGTTCATACATTTCCCACTGAATTCAGGTATCAAATTTCCTTAACTATAATGAAATTCAAAAAATAACAGTTGAAAAATATTATGCATCAGTTATATAGTAACAGGTGCTCTCAGCTGAACTTAAAGTTTTCATTTGTATTTTTGGTATTCATAATAAGTCTTACTGAAGTTTTAGAAGTTAGTGCTGACTTAAATTACTTTTTTTGAAGAATAACAGAATTTATATTCTTATGTACAGTCTATATTCTTGCATCGAATATTTATAATAGACGCATGAAACCGCACTTTACATAATGCTGTGAACAGTAATTATCTAATTAAAACCAGTTGTAGAGCGTTAAGAATTATATTGTCAAAATTTTCGTAAGCAGTTACTGCATAGTGAAGAGAAGAGTGTATCATATCTTAATATAAGTTTTAAGTCATAAGTTTTATGTAATTTGATTGCTGTTATGACATCACTTTTTATATAGATTCGACGCCGTCGTGTTGAAAATGACCAGGGATACTCAGAAGTTGATAATATAAGCACAGATAAAGAAACGGATGCAAAAATAGAACTTGGCATCCGACTCGTCTCACAAATACGACTTATTAATCATATTAGGAAAGCTACTGCTTTTGATAAGTAAGCTGTGAAGCCATAATTATGGAAGATCTCACATTGTATTTTTTCTCTTTTTCCTGGTATTTTATCTTGAAGTAAATTTTTTTTTTCAGAAAAGTTTCTGACAATGCTGAGTGTGAAACGAGCACTGAAACTGTCGATATTGAGCTGAAATTTTTAGAAAGCACAAGGTATGCGAATAATTGCAGTGATAATTTAAACTACATATTTTCAGTAAAGGATTTCTTGTTCTCCAGCATCAAAAGTTAAATAACGTTTTCAAACCAAAGAATACAATTTACTCGATGTAAACTTTATTGTTATCCATCTTCAATTACTGCTGATGTTTTGCAGTACTGAAATGTCATTCGATAAGTTATTGGGTCCAGGAACTGATGAGATGAGTCATTCTCGCAAGCAACCTATTCAGTTCCCCATATATGCTTCAGAAACAACATCACTTCCACCCATTGAAATTAAAGTAGAAGAAAACAGCGCGGCATCGGTTTCACTTGCTCTTTCAATTTTTATTTACCATCTTCTTTTGTCCATCTACATTTTAAAACGTTAGAAACTTTACAGCCGTGTTCATCATATTTGGAACAGCCATCCACATCAACTATCATTGCACATCCTGCCTCTTCGATACCTTCAGCTACTGCTCAGTCCACTCCTCGAAGTTCTTCAGTAACTGGAGTAGAATCAAGCGTTGAAAGAGTAGCTAGACAGGTTGTTATTGAATCTTTCAGTTTGCGATATTTAAATTCACATGAATTTTAGCTGTTCTTGAATCTAATCATAATTATGAATGGAGGAAATGAGTTTAGTTATGCTTGCATTGAAATAAGATGGGGCTTGCAAAAGTTTTTAAATATACTGGATATTGCTGTATTATGGAGGAAAATACAGGAAGCTCAAGTATTAGCCCGAATTGCTGAGCTTCGTCGGCAGGGTCTTTGGACGGCATCTCGCTTACCAATGATTGAAATGCCTCCACGGAATAAAACTCATTGGGATTATTTGTTGGAAGAAATGCGGTGGATGTCAATGGATTTTCGTCAAGAAAGAACTTTCAAACGGCAAGCTGCACGAAAAGTAAAGCTTGTCTGGAATTTTTTCTTACGTCACGCCTCATATTACTACTTGTTGAGACATAAGTTTTCTGTTTTGATTTTTTCGTTTACATCAATAATCATATCTATATGTTCACTGCAGTTCTCGTTCCAAATTGCGCGTATTTTACGGGATCGTGAACAGGAGAAGAAACGATCAGAACAGCGAGCATTGAAAGAGGCTAGGCGCATCTGTGCACTTATTGCAAAAATGGTTCGAGATTTTTGGCAAAACGTTGATAAAGTGGTTGATATGCATGCACAGGTGAATTTTGCTCCTCATTATTTGCTAAAACTTGAAGTAGTTTCTTGTCATCCATATTATTTTTATATTATTTTATTTCATTTCTTGACGTTATCGAAGTTGTTTTCATGTTTTTTTTTCACTTTTTATTCTGTGTCTTTCACATTTATTTGCAGTTTTTAAAAAAAAAACAAACAAACAAACAAAGGTTAAAGAAGTTTACACTATCAACTTCGATTCTTCAAAGTCATTAAAAAGAATATTTTCACGCTTTCTCGAACTTTAGGAAATAATAGAGTCGATGAAACGAAAAGCACTAGATCAGCAGTTGGAAATGATGGTTGGTCATGCGGATAAAATAAGTGAAATGGTCCAAGAAGGTCTTATAGGAGAAAGATCAAGCAGAACGTCGTCTGCTTTTAGTTGTGACAATGTTAAAGGTTTGAAAGTATTACAGGCCTATGCATTTTTGATATTGGAGCAATTTTTAATGCTATTTTATTATTCACTTTCATCGATTGACTTACCATATTTTAACAAAAAATTGTTTGCAGATGTAGATGACATCAGTTTTTCTACTGATTCATTGGACGACGTTTCAATTTCTGACTCCGAAGCTGTGGTTGGAAATGTCGAAGAGGAAATGCAAGGATTGATGGCTGAAGGAAATCTTGAACTTAATGATTTACTTGATTCAGTATGCTTTTAAATTTCACGACTTTGCTCGTATCTACTAGGAATATTGTCATATCAGTATCATAGTTGTATGCAGAATTCATTTTATGTGGTTATGTGTACATCAAAAGATATAAACTGACAAATATTTCAAATAGATAATTTGATACACGCTTTCACAGTTCTCTTGACCCCTTTCATATTTCAAATTATTTCATTACTCGCTTCTTTCAGTTACCATCAGGATATCTGGAAAGCTTCTCAAAATTTACAAGGAATCAGGACTCTTGCGAGCTTTACACTGGAATACCGACGGACAACAGCCAACCAGAAGGTAGTGAAGTGTCGACAGAATGCTCTGCATCTGAATTAATGCGAGGTTTTTGATTCCTTCGTCTTTATCTTTTATTTATGCAAATTTTTTACAATGTCATTTTTAAAAAAGATTAAATATTTTTATTTTGATAATCTATATTCTCATTTCAGAAAAAGATCTAATATGTAATAATGCATCTTCTTCCGAGGTCAAAACATCACTAAAAAAAGAAATTCTCGATTCTACAGATATGTCAAGAGATACTGCTATAGGCGATACAATAAATTTTGATCGATTAGCGTCAGAAAGTAGTGAAGAGCGACAAAAGGAATTGGCAAATATTGCGGAAGAAGCACTGAAACTACAACCAAAAGGATTCACTTTAGAGACTACTCAAGTAAAAACTGAAGTGCCTCATCTGATCAGAGGTACGTTAAGAGAGTACCAGATGGTTGGCTTGGACTGGTTGGTAACATTATACGACAATGGTTTAAACGGTATCCTAGCTGATGAAATGGGTTTGGGTATGTTTATTCTCAAGGTGCAAAAATTCATTAGTTATGAAGTTCTAAATTACTTCCCAGAATTTTGCGCTTTTCTCAATTTTTTTAACTCTCCAGGAAAAACAATACAAACAATCGCACTCTTTGCACATTTGGCTTGTAAGGAGTACATTTGGGGTCCGCATCTCATAGTTGTACCGACATCAGTAATTTTAAATTGGGAAATGGAATTCAAAAAGTGGTGCCCAGCCCTCAAAATATTGACTTATTTTGGCAGCCAAAAAGAGCGAGCAGAAAAACGGAAAGTAAGGATAGTTTTTGAATTTCGTGTTTTTTGTTGTAAACTTTTTTTGTCATTGTAGTTTAGAAATTTGATTTTTTTAGTTCCATTATTTCAGGAAATTTTGGCATGTTAAAGTAGTATCTTTATTTGATTTGTAGTAATCATGCTATTAATGCTAACTTTTAAATGTATTTTGGGAGTGGTGGTGGTTTTTGTTTTGTATCATTGTATTTTTAGGGCTGGTCAAAACTGAATGCTTTCCATGTTTGCATCACTTCTTATAAAATTGTGACCCAGGATATTCGATCATTCAAGCACAAAGCTTGGCAGTATTTTGTTTTGGATGAGGTTAAATGATTTGCGGAGCCAAGTTCTAAATTTCTGTAAACTTGTACTTATTGAATGATGTGTACACCGTAAAATGCTGATTATTTCCAATTTAATTATTGAATGCATACTCATTAATACATTGCAGGCACAAAACATCAAAAATTTTAAAAGCCAGAGGTGGCAAACATTGCTGAACATTCGTGCTCGTAGACGTTTACTCTTGACGGGTACACCTTTGCAAAATTCATTGATGGAATTATGGTCTCTTATGCACTTCTTGATGCCAGCTATTTTTGCATCTCATAACGATTTCAAGGATTGGTTCAGCAATCCTTTGAATGATATGATGGAAGGTAATGTGGAATGGAATGCGTCACTGATACAGAGGCTTCATAAAGTATTTTTTTTATTGAAAATTTTGTTATTGAAGGCATTTTTAAGGCACACCATTGTTTGAAAAAATAAGGTGGAATTGCATGTGAAGATGTTCTAAGCTGGCTATTTTGACAAACAAAAAGATTTGATAGTATTGCAGAGAGTTCTGAGACTTTGAAGCACATAAAGTCTGAAGTCTTCTCAAAGTCATTCTGTTTAAAATATGACTTGGTTAATTCAATTAATAGCCTTGAATTTCTGCAATAATGAGATCAAAAATCAAAGTATCATTAAAGGTACTTCGTCATCTAATGATATCATTACATTCGTTTAGTTTGTCCAATATTTTTGATTTTTTCATTCTTTAGGTACTCCGACCATTCATTTTGAGACGCTTGAAAAGCGACGTGGAAAAACAGCTACCGGAAAAAACAGAACATATTATTAAATGTCCTCTGTCAAAACGGCAGCGATGTCTTTATGATGATTTCATGTCTAGAAGATCGTAAGTTGTATTTCTATTTTAACTGTTTTTCTTAGAGGAGAGAAGAAGGTACTGTAACCGTCAGTTATCAGATCGATTTTAAAAGTATATCTTTAGCTTATCAAATGACTAAATATTAATTTTGAAATGTCTTGAAGGACGCGAGAAAACCTGCGGTCAGGCAGTGTTATGTCAGTGCTGAATATTGTTATGCAGTTGCGGAAATGCTGTAATCATCCAAATTTGTTTGAACCTCGGCCAATCATGTCCCCTTTTGTTATGCAGCCATTGACTATCACTGTACCAGGCATGGTGTTAGATATCTGTCGGAGGTCGGCAATTTTAATTACTCATCATATTATGTCCTTAGCGTTGTATTAAATGTATAACGCTTCACAGTTTCCCAAATGTTCTAAACATCTGCGTCGTAGTTTATTCATGAATTTTTGTTTTGAATATTTAGGAATGAGTTCGAAAAGACTGATGTGTTAGAAATTTTTAAAATTTCTCTTCGCGGGTCTTTTTTTGCACATAGCGAAGGACATCGTTTAGTTGTACGTGAGCAGATATTGAAAGATCAGATTGCTGTACCGTTTGATATACCAGTACCGAAATTGAAAGGATTTCATTTTTCACGGCCGCCTCCAGTAAGTAATCAATATAACTGGTTATATGTTAAAATTTTGCTTTATTTTTTGAACTATTTGATTTGCATTTCTAAGTTTGCTGTAAAATATCTGAAACTTGTTGAATTTTTATATTTTAGGAAATGTTTATCACGTAAAGTGTCTTGATTTCAGCGAATTCATTTGCAACCTCAAACCAGGGAAGGATCAAAAGTTTTTATGCCAGTCCCGTTGCCATCGGCAGGTTTGTGGTAATTATTCAGCTAAAATCTATTGGAAGTGAAGTGCAGTTTGCAAAAAATGTCTTACCTTGCATCTATTGTACACCTAGTATTCAAGAATGTTATTACAACATTAATCCATGAATACTGTTGCATATTAATAGTTGGCTATGAACAAGTGAATGTTGTTTGTAGTTTGATTCCATTTCAGGCATTCCACGTGGTAATGATCTATATGTTTCTGTCGATGATCTTGGTAACGCACGGGTATATCAGCTGGTAATTCTTTTTTGAATCCTGTAATCTTAGTTTTGGTACTCAACATAAATCATCATATTGAAGGTAGTTGATAGTACTGGAGGTCGTATGGTTCGTGAATGTGCCGGAAGCTCTGTGGCAAGCAGTCGTATTGTAATTTCGGACGAGAGTGTTCCGCAGAAAATTAATACTAGTGCTCCTGCTATGCAAGCATCAAGTCCGTCTTTAATGCGTGTAACACCACTTCAAAGATCAGACCTTGTTATCAGGAAAGAAAGTGTTCCTGAATCAGCAACTACTTCTGCATCTCTATCTATTCCATTTCTCAAAGTAAGATCTCTGTTGAGTATTCATTAAGTTTTAGAATGCTAGATAGTTACAAAGTTTCTGTTTCTCATCATAATCTCAAAACTGCAGCACAGTGCCAGTTTCAGCCAGTGTTTCGAACGACAACAGTTTTATCGCAAACCCGATCGTCAACCAGTATCCCTGAGAAAAGTAAAACTACGTTTAACAATGGTTGCACATCCTTCTCAGAAAATCACATCGCCGCGACTTTTCCGGTGATTAAATTGTTAAAGCAACTTTTGTCGGAATGATCTGTTTTAATTTAAACAAGCTTATTTTTTTACAATATGAGCTGTTATCTTTGCATTCATTGCGTGACGAATATTATTCATGATTGTGGGATTAATATTGGTTATGTATTTGTGATTTTATCTTATTCTTTACACTCATATTGGAAATTCTTTTTTAGATAGCTCAGGCACAGGTAAAGATGTTGGAGCCGGAATCAGCTAATGTGGGTAGAGGTGGTAGAACTGCTGATGGCAAGCAGGCTTCAGTTGCAATAATGAAGGTCGATAAAGCGAAAGCAACGAACTCCATAGAAGAGACGAGTCAGAAGTCAAGTTTATATGATTTCCTAGTTTTGGTAAGTATTTATATCACAGTTTATTTTTAAATACTTCCTCTTTTTTATCGTTATTAATTCAATAACATTATGTAAAAAGACTGCTATTTGTTGGGCACATTTCGTTTCGTTATGTTGAAATTGCTGAGGCAAAATCGTCGAAAAAAATAAGTGGCCAAGACGATGCATAAATAATAGTGCATAACATACAAATAACGACTCCGGTATAGCATGAAAATACGGCAGATATGTTGTTTTATTTAAAGTTGTAAAAAAATAATGTTTGAAGCTGGCTAGAAAGCAGGAAAAACAAACGTGAAATCACATATTCCAAAACATCCAGCATTGTATGCTAAACTTTAAAATAGCAGCAATTGTTGTTCATTGTACATAATAGACTTCATCCACATTTCTTATTTGATGTCATTAATATCTCTTTTCAAAAATTTATAAACTATTTCTTCCTGTTTGAGCATTTTCCAGCCTGATACACTGAAAGTCACTGAAAAAATACAAGCTGAAAGGTTGCAACGGTGTGCTGCAATTTGTGCCCGGCGTTTGTCGTTCCCCAATGTTCGTCGTTCACCTTTGGTGCCAGATGAGCTATTCGAAATTATTCAGAAGGAACTAAACTGGCAGAAATACCATCAAAATTCTTCAACATTAGGTAAACTCTGACGACTTGTGGCACTTTTAGTTTATTTGAAACTATCTCGAATTTTTCTATTGGCATTCTTTTCAGACTCATTAAAATGGCTCGTTCCATCTTTAGTTGACTGGACGATTGATGCATCACAAAGGTAGTTTATTGTCTGCAAGGCTTTTTTTTTCGAGATATGTTTGTATCGTTATACAGAAGTTTTTTGTTTTGAATATATTAGATCACGGCATTATTAAGTATGAAGTATTTCGCTTTCTATAGCATCATCAAATATATGAATTCAACATGTTGGTTGTCTTTTTGTAATATTTTGAAAAATTGATTTGGTAATCTAATGGGAATCATATTTGCATTGGAATTAGGGCTTAAAAAATGCTTTCAGATTCAATGTTTTTGTGCACGGTGCACTCTCAGACGAACCATATCTTGAAATAAACAGTAGTGGGTGTTATGCTTACATACGCGAAGATCACAGCGATTCAGTGGAGGAATGTCAGCGTATAATGTTGGACTCTGACGACTTGTTTTCCCAGATTGATATGTTACAAAAACTTCAGTTTCCGGAATTGAGACTAATAGAATACGATTGTGGTATGTTGAGCAAGAAATAAATAATCATTTTTCTCCTTTTATTGGTGGATTCAATCATAATTAAAAAGATAAAATTAACATTTTGTACAAGGAATAGCTTAAATAATTTTGTGGAATATATAGGCAAACTACAAGTACTGAACGGTTTGTTGCGTGAACTTTTTCTTTACAAACACCGTTGCTTGATTTTCACTCAAATGGCACGAGTACTAGACATTTTGCAAGCTTTTCTATCATTCCATGGTTATCAGTACTTCCGTTTAGATGGAACGACTGGCATTGAACAGCGTCAGGTAATTCTTAAAGATTAAAAAAACATCAAGTTTTTCGAATAGGCATCTTTCATTCGCTTAAATTGTTTGTTCTCTTTTCTAGTTCCTAAGTTTTATGTACTCTTTAAATTGTTTAGAGCCTCATCTAGTTAATTACAAGAAAATAGTAAAATTGAAAAGTTGATGAAAATGAGACATACCGCCTTTAGTCTATCCGGTAACTCTTTTCTTAGTGTTGTACAGCTGGTTTCAGGCAATGACGGAACGATTCAATGCGGATCCGAAAATATTCTGTTTCATTTTGTCTACTCGTTCAGGAGGTGTAGGTGTAAATTTAACTGGCGCAGATACGGTAATTTTCTATGATTCTGATTGGAATCCAACAATGGATGCGCAGGCTCAAGATCGGTGCCATCGTGTTAGTTTTCTTATCTGGTTTCTCGCTGAATCCGAAATATCGCTTGTTTTGTATTTGAATTCAGCTAGAACTTTAGGTTTCCAAAAAGTTCTGAACATCATTGTAGAGCTGTTTAGATTGGACAAACTCGAAATGTCACAATTTATCGTTTAATTAGTGAACGAACAATAGAAGAAAATATTCTACGGAAGGCGATGCAGAAGCGTCGTCTTGGTGAGATGGCAATTGATGAAGCAGGTTTTACTCCTGACTTTTTCAAGGGGGATAATGTTAGGGATCTATTCGAAGGGGACACAAACGTATGCGATGTTATCGCTCCTGTTACAGTAACAGACAGCAGAGAAATCGAGAAAGTATGTTTCCAAATTCAGATTGATTCTATTTATTTTTTTCAATTACGAAGTACGAAAAAGTCAATAGAAATCAACTAGTTAGAATACATCTTTCTTAGCATTTGTTTGATTATTCTCTTCTGGAAAGAATATTTTTTTAATAGGCAATGGCAACGGTAGAGGATATACAGGACGTACATGCAGCGAGACGAGCAAATGCTGAAGTAGAAGCAAATATAGCTGAATTTGATGAAAGTGTTCTATTGCATTCTACCGATAGTGGCCAAGAAAAAGTAGAATCAAAGTATTTAGAGCTGATAAATAAGGTATGTTGGTGGCATTTTGTGGTATTTCCGAAAAGGACAAAAGGAGTGTGGATGATTTCTAATTTTGTCTAATTAAGGTTATGATAGGGTTGCTTACCATTTCTTCTTTAATTTTGTTCTATGTCGAAATCAATCTTTAGATACATTAAGTAGCACAACTCGTATTTTGTTCACAAGTAAGAAGATAAGTATGTAAATGATTAGATTATCTTTATCTTATTCTCTTGTTCTGTTTTCCGAAATAACCGTTGAAATCTTTTCTTCGTTTCAGTTGAAACCAATTGAACGATATGCGATCAGTTTTTTGGAAGCTGAATACAAACCAAATTTTGAGGAAGAAGTAAAGGAGGCAGAGGTTTTTGCTTTTATCTTTTGCAGCATTTAGGACATCTCAAGCTATCTGCATTATTTTTCTAAGTAACTGAGTACTTTCCTGTTTACTTAAAAGGATTTCAAATAGTACATTTCCTCATAAATCGATGTATAATTTAAGGAAATTTGTGAATCAAATGAAATTCAAACATGGACATATGAAAACGCCCAAATTATTTCTGTTGGATTGAAAATAAGCTTTCGTTTCTTTAGTGGTTGAGTTCAGGCCATGAATTCACTTCATTACTGTAACAATGTTATTCTTCCTCTAGGCTTTGATTGCTTCGAAAAAAGACGAATGGATAAAGGCGCAAGAAAATGCAATGGAGCAAGATGAAGGCGATCGGCAAAGCGACGATGATGTTTCATTGACGTATTTAAGTGGATTCAATATTCCTGGTTCTGTGGAAGAGGTACGCTCAAAAGCATCAGCATCTCGTTTAGCATCTCTCAGACCTCATAAGCCTACACACTCACGTAATTTGCGTTCTACGACCTTAGCTACTAGAAGAACACGCTCGTCTCCTCGTTTCATTCAGACCAAGAAAATCGAGACGGTTGAGGATAGTATGACTAATAGTACAGTAGTTAGTAAGCATAAACCAGTGATGAAGCAAAGCATTAAAGAAACGGAAACTGAGTCAAAAAGTAACTTGTCACAGGTTGTTTCGAACTCGTCGCCTGAAATCTTAGTCCCGAATCTTTCTAGTGAGAACGTATCGAAAACGGCTTCATCATGTAAAGTGAACTTTGCTGCCCGTGAAGATTTATGTGCACGGGTTCTTCCGATTCCTGTTGCTATTACTAAAGCAGGACGTTGCTCGTCTTCCACATATTCATCACAACATCCACCTTTGCCTGTAAAGTTTTCTTCTAATTTATCTCTTCCCTTTAGTTCTGGAGCAAGAACTCTCCCCAAGCCTAATATTTTTGTTAATTCGTCTCCATCAACTTCTTATACCGTAATAGGTAAGGATGGGACACCATTTATACGATGTCAGAGGTTTTCTTCGCCTTCTAGCACTGCTGCACAGCCCTTATCGCATCAGATGTGGACAGCTTCAAGAATCTCAGTGCCTGCCGCAGTTGGAAAAAGGCAATGTGAAATTGGAGCCCTCGAATTTGCTAGGCCGGTTCCATCGATATGGGAAGCTTCTACTCAATATTCGTCGCTTTCCGGCATGCGAATAAAACCATCACTGGGTGATTACGAGCGGCCAAGACTGTGCTTGCGAAAACGAGGTGATCCTAAAAGTAGCGAAGTTGAACCATCGTCCGCCTCATCAGACATTTATCCGGAATGAAGCTGTGAGATCTAAACTTGTTTTTATCTTTACTATGTAATTTGGGCTTAGCAAAAAGGAATTGCTTGTATAGTACAGCTGCGTTGTTTCCTTAGTTTTTGAAATCCAGTTTCTAGAACTGATCTGCCATTGAAAAAAGGCATGACTAGATGCATCGCATAAGGGGCATAACCGTCTTTTATATCGATATCATTTCTTTACTCCTATAAAATTTTCATTGTTACTAAATTACTAACATTAGTTACAATTAAGTAGAACTGTTTATGATTACTTTTACGTATGCTGCAAATCATACGTGTATGTCGACCAAAAATCTCAGATTTTTAACATTAAATGATAGTTTGTAAATGTGATAGTTATGTTTTTAATGACTAATTACCAAATACACAAAAATATACTTGCTCATGTATTGTTTAATGTGTATTGTGGGAAACCTTGCTAAATGTTTTTAAATTTTTATACATTTTCAAGATGTTTTGATATTTTTTGTTGAGCAATTGATGAAAAATGAATTGTGAATTAAGAGAAAATTTCCCTGCACTATATTTTCGACTACACACATGTGAGGCCTTGCTCGAAAACTATGAAAATGTTTAACGCTTGTCAAGTTATCATTTTTAATTTCACGTGTCAGTGTATGGTTTACGAATTTACGCTTTAAAAATCTTGTTTCCGGATCCTAGAAAAGGGAATTACGAAAAATTATGCAAACGGCTTTGCACGTGTGTTGTCGAAAATTTTCGAGTAGAGCAAGGTCTCACAATAATCACGAGCAATATGTGGGTCACATAGATTTAAGTGTTAAGCGGAAGTGAAACTGATTGATTGGCAAGTCTCGCATGAAGATTGAAGCAATATAGCTAAAAGCAACGTTTTGTGGGAAAAAAATTCTGGTCATGTTATGAAAATTAGCAGTATTTGTATCTGGTCGATTTTTAGCTCACAAGAAGTAGAGATAAATAGTTATCTGGAAGGTGGGTGCTTTGCTCGTTCTCTGATCATGTGGGTTAAATTTGGTATCTCTGAGCATGGAAGAAATTTATGGATTCCTTCCGGTTGGGGTCGCATTTACTTGGTAGTAACTGAGATTCCCCGAGGTCGCTTTTCATTTCACTACATCGATTAGTGATACAGAGTAATGATCTTGTAATGAATTGAAGTCGTTGGATTTCAGCGTACAGTCACTTCAGTACCCTGGTAATAATGGTCATCAATTAGTTGTTTAAGATTTTCATTTTCACTGTATTGCCCAATTATTGTGCATAATATTAGCCTGATGGAACATTTCTCTGAGGAAAGCTTCTAATAACATTTTAGTCGTAGCTGTTAAATCATTTATTGCTGTAGAGGTTCAGTCTAGATATAATTTGAAGAAAAAGTGACCTAAAAGAGTACGATTCATAATCTTATCATAGTAATTTCAGGTATTTTGTTTGGATGCACCAGGTGAAACAATGATGGTATGTCATCATTTTGTAGTTTTCTATAGAAATTGGTCCACTAGAACGAAATCGTATTATTTATGTTTTGAGTTATTTAATTTAAAGTGTTCATGATTTCGAAATGAAATCGTTCTATTGCTCAAAATGTGTAAGTTACTCTCTAAAGATTCAGGAATTCTAAAACTTCTAGACGTGGTTGCCACCTTCACCTCCACTTTCTGACAGCGGCGATGATATTTATTATGATTGTACCGGGGAATACTGGTTTGAGCAACTACCAATGGCGGAACATCGCTTACCATCAATAATTTATGAGCTTTACCGCCCACTACCAGCTGCACCTAGATTACCGCCAGCACCACGATGTATGCCGGAAATTGTGCTTCCGGGCCCCATTCAGTATCAGATAGCACCAGGTGTATTACCACCGATTATTGCAATGCCTCCATCGCCAACTGGCATGTGTACCGGTGAGATTATCGTCATTTTTATTAAGAAATCTTGAAATTCTGTACTGATTCATTATTTCAATTTCAGTGGCAAGTGGTATTATTCGCGACACTGTGCCATCTCCATCAACATCAGTTACTTCAATTGCTCAGGAACGTGGCATCAATTTGATACCTCAGACAGGCGCATCTTCTGGTGCTGCTTATCTTGATACATCAAACTTGCTAAGACCTGCCACACCTTCGTGCCTTCCTGGCTCCGTTGACGGTGGGTTAATTTGACTTATTTCATGTTTTTAGTTTTTATGTTTTCGATTTAACTTTTCGAACATAATTATGTTTCCAGCATAACTGTTCTTTTAAATTCCTGATATTTCTGACGTGTTGATCAGAGCAAGAAACTCTAAATATAAATTTCACACGAATCTTTTAAATTTCCGACTTTTTTAAATTGATAAGAAAACTCATTTCAGATACTATCGATAGTGTACGAAAGACTGCACAAAAAACGATACCATTTCAGGGACTTCAAAGATCTCAAGTTGGAAGGTATTAATTTAAATTGTAACTTTTTTTAACAGTCTTCGGATGATTTTCATCGATTGATTTAGTACCATGGGTTCCGTTTCGTAACTGAAATAAAGTTCCATTTATCTTATTGTACTAGTAGCTGATAGTAATTTCTGATTTTCAACAGAATATTTCTCCTGTGTTTAATGGTTTCATACTTTTGCACATGTACCTCTAAAGTCGGATAATTTTAATAAATACATACCACAGTTAGAATTTCGTGATGATTTTATTCATAACTGTTCAAATATTCTGCTGTTGAAATAAATTTAATTCATCAGTTATTTATGTATTTATGTGCGCATTTGTTGTCATAATCAGTTGGATTGAATTTTGATTAAGCAGACATTGCAGTTTGCTTGATGGCCGTAATACTACAAGTGATCTACGACGACCGTTTACACCACCTCCTCGATATCGTGAAGCGATTGATTATGATGGAACAGAATGGAGTATTGCAGAGGAGTATGAAGCGCTCATGGTTATTATAACTGAAATTATTTCATTTTCTGTGCTTTCATTTAGCAGTTCAAGAACTATCCGAGTAGTGATTTCCAGATTTTAACCAAATTACAACGTTTACCGAATCATTTGCATTCGACAAAAGATGGACATTGTGTAAATTGGGATTTGATGTCGACTTTATTGAGTACGTGGTCAGAAGTTTACCGGTATGTTGTGATCGTTTAGTTTTTCATATGTGATTAAATTATTCCATTTATCGCAGAAGTTCGTGTCTAATGATCATACTTAACTTGATGATTTTCATAATTGTTTTCATGCGTTTCAGTTTTATTTAAATATCTCACTACTTATTCAAATTTGTTTTCATTCTGGACGTCTAAGAGGCATAAGAAAAAAAACTTTTGAAAGAACTATTATTTTAGTGAAGAAATTTTTTAGTTCTCCTCGCCAATGTTCACTTCATTATCAAATGGTGGTGCAACCACGGGAAGAGGGACGAATGGTTACTTTGGATCCAATTACAAAGAAAACGCGAAGAGTTCCTTTATCATCTAGTGAAATGAGTGAGTTTTATATTGAAAACTTTAGATGTTGCATATAATAAAGTTGAAGTATTGTAGTCCTAGAGGGCTATATTTATTTAGCCTGTCAATTCTCAGAAAACTGAGTTAAATTTGCATCACTCATATGCTTATGTATCTTTCATATTTAAATTTCATTTTCATTCTAGTATATTTCTTTTTGATGCAGTATTTTTTTAAATTATTTTAAAATTACTCATGATTACTATAACAGAAGTTATTTTATTTTCATATAAATATTTAAAAAATACAAATTTAGATATATAAAATACCTTTAAAAAATACTTTTAAATATCTAAATATGTTTTTCTGCTACGTTACCTACAAATGAGCATGGTATTGTTTTACACAGTTTCTTGATTTTAGTGTTCTGGAAGTATTTCACATATGTTTTAGAAGTTTTTTTTGCCATCTTATGACTTACTTTCGAACATTTCGAAAATTATTAGTTCAAAATAGGTTGATGACTGAACATATGTAATGAAGTCACTAATTTAACATTAATCAAATTGATATTTTTTTTGGGATTTACATCAAGATTTTCAGTACATATGAAACGTGGGCGAACGAAAACTGATCAGCAGTATTTTGCTGACATTGTACAGTTGTTGTCTTCTGAATTTGATAAAAAAGCTAAAGCGCTAAAAATGGCATCTCTGAAACAAACACCTCACTTGGAAATGCAAAGATGTAATCTTCTAAATCTGCTTGGTTCAGAGACAGCTGTGGGAAAGAAACTAATAACCTAATATGTATTTAAGTTAATCCGAAATATATTAGCAATTTAACCTTCTTATTGCTTTATCAAGATGTCAAATCTTTTATTTATTTTTTATCACAGTGGATGAAGCGGAAATAAAATGGGATTTGCCTGAAGCCCAAGGAATGAAATTAACTGAATTGGGTGTACAATACGATTCTACAACAACTCTGTTAGAAATTATAAATCGTCGCGAGGAGAATCGTAAAAATTCAGTTAAATCAACAACCCAAAAGAATCTCACTTTCATAGGAGATGATGAAGAAACGGTTGGTTTTGGGCAGGTTGTGTAATGGTCTAAATATTTATAGAAATGAATAACTAGAGTAGCTTGAATTTATATTTGTCACAGAAAAGTTGTTTTTAAGATTCTATTTGAGTATTTCTTTTATCACATCCTTTGTGCAACAATGATGCTTTTTGGTACCTCACATTTGCTTCAATTTATCGAACAGCAAGAATGAAATCATCTTGCAGTCATGCAAATATATTTCTGATTCAGATCACAGAAGAGAAAGCAACTCTTAAAGAGCCAGCACTGAGTACGATTCCTGGCGTTATCAACTATCAGAGAATTAGTTATGATGATATTATGCAAGAAGCACAAAAACAACCTGTTGCTGTCGCGACATCTCTTTCTGGCACATCTGTTTCAACTGCGAAAATATTCTGTGAGTGAACGTTTTCACCTTTTTATGATATATTTCCTATTTCTTGTAAAATCCAAGTTAATAATAATTTCACTTTAACTTAATTTGTTTGCATAGTTATTTTCCTGTTGAAAATAGCCCTGAAATAATTTCAGTCCTCGTTCATAACTTTTATGTGCTTTATTTTTGGTAATTTTCTGTCATTTTGAAGCTGCTAGTAGCCAAAGTCAATCCGCAAGCAGTGCGTCTGCTCAAAGCTCAAGTGATTCAACTCCAATCATTTTTGGCCAACGTGCTTGCGCTGATCACTCACAAGTAATAATTTTGAGTAGATTATTGTATCTGTTGAAAAAAAATGGTTTACTTGTATCTAATTTTTTTGAAGCTTCAATTTATTTTGTGTTCTAGTTTCTTAAGCTAAGTTAGTTTCAAATAAGATTGCACTGGATGAAATTCTTGAGTTCTTTTGACTATATGTAAGCGACGTATATTTTTGTATATATTTTTTTCAAATCAGATTAATTTTTTGGATGAAAGAGATTATTATGTGCCGTCATCGCATCACAATTCGTCTTCCTTTGAATAGGAGATTTTCAAAATTTCAGTCTCCTAAACTCCAAGTTACATCTGCTGCTACACCTACTGCTACGACTAGTGCTACATCCAGTGCTACACCTGCTGCTCACCAGATCAGTTCTCGGCGCCTTACAGTTCCAGTTGGTTCAGGCAGTTCAGCTCAACATCAAATTGTCATGACAGGAAGTACACAAATGGGATCAACTGGAGGACAACAACCATACGCTGTTGTGGTCACATCCCATGATACTGTAAGCCAGTAATTCAGTCAAAATGGCTTATACATGTAATAAATCATGGTACATCCACTAATTTAAATTCTAAATAAAGTTGGTAATTTGAAAAATTATGTAAGTGGATTGCAATTTGCTTGGCACACATTATCGGTTCCCAATGCTATTTTAAGTTGGGTGGTCAACAGTCTAGTGGACGCTTCCAACATGCGGTACGACAGGAAGGAATGGCTGAGCGGCAAACGGTTTATCGAGCAATTCCTTCTCTCAGTTCGAAAAGAACGATATCTTCACAAATTCCGCAACGAGTAAGATAAAAATATCATAAATAATTTGATATCCAGCATTTATTTAGTGGTGGTAAAAGTGATCTTCTCTACTTCACTGGTCATTTTTAAAATTTTTTTTCCCACTAAATCCGCTTTTAAGAGTTATCGATTCCATTGCGTTGTTATTTTCATTACAACAGCTTTTTTTATTGTACCTGATAAAAGTATTACAGTTTTGAGTTATTATTTCCATTACAAAAGCCTTTCTGTTCAATTATTTTGTTCTTAAAATATTTTATTTTCAGCAAAAAGTGTTCCAGATTGCGACCGGAACATCTGCAGAATCACAACAGCAAATTTATGCTGCTCCATCTCATAGCGGACGAACGTTGATTATGTCCCAAGGAGATAATTCTCACCTGGGTGAAGCAAGTCAGATACAGATGATTCGACCGCAAATGCAAACTGGAATATCTTTACGTCAAGATGTTCGACCTAAAATAGCTCAGCGAACACCGGTTAATCAATTTTCTTTTTACCTTTTTTAGCTTTCACTTGAAACGAGGAAATGGAAATGATCTAGTTTCAGTCTAAATGTACATATACAAGTAACCGATTTTGTAAAAATTCAGTTGCTATTACTGCTCAGTATAAATTTAAAACATCATGAAAATACTTTTCAAACTATACTTCGAATATTCTCGCGATTGTTCTCGTCAAAGTGATTTTTTGGGTTCAGCAGGGTCGTTTGTACGTTACTACTACTGGTGCTGACCGTACATACATTATGCCACAGTCACAAGTACGAATGATACATGGTGCGCAGCGGATCACATCAAAACGTGTGACAAATTCGTTACACACAAAGACAATAGGGGGACAAGCGCAAGTAGGTTTGCTGGAATAATGAATTGCAATCGAAACTTTGTTTCAAATTTAAAATGATTTGAAAATTTTTTCAAATTAGGAGTTAATACTCAACTCTTTGAAATAAATTTTTCACTGAGTATTAAAAAAAAGAATATATTTTACATGACTGTTTCGTAGGTGGCGATGATGTTACCGCGAGGAAGTCCTCTACAGCAGATAAGGACAATATCGTGAGTTTAATAGCTTTATTTGTAGTATTAAGCTGTCTGTTCACTTTATTAAACAGAATAGTAGTTGATAGCAGTAAGATGTTGTAATCCAATTGTCTATTGTAATATTCTTTTGGTTAAGGAGAATGTCCCTTGCATAAATTCATTATGAAAGACGAGATTGTGTTTGAGATTTTAAAAATACAGGTCAAAGTAGTTTTGCTATTTTTAGATTTTTATTACTTTCTGTCAGATACTTGAAATTCTGTAGTATTAGGTATTTGCATACCAAAAAATCCTATTTTTACAGCCGTTATCAAAGCTCTCGCTCTCCATCAATAGGATTTATGATGAGTAACAGAAGCAGTGATACAGTTGGTGGTTCTGGAACAACAAAGCAATTGCCTTCAACTAGTAAGTAGACTCATTTCATTTCATTAAATCTTGTTGAAAAACTAGTAGTAAAGAAAGATTCATTTTAGGATTAAAATCACGTTCTATTTATGTTGGGGTGATTTTGTTTATTGTTTAGGTGTCATATCACGGCAAAATATTTCTGGTACCTCATCAATCAGGTCAGCAACCATTGGAGTACAAGGTGGTGTTAGTAATTCAAGTTCAAATACGGTACAAGGTAATTCTTGCTGTATTAATTTGTTTGACAGTTTATTAGCACTCTTAACAACCTTTTCTTTCCAACAATAAATCGAAGTGTAAAATGTGTATAGAATTCAAACAGATTGTCTGCACATTTCTTTTTCATCCTTATGTTTCTAACTTATTGCTATTAACGTATTTATTACCTAATTTATTTCACTGATTGTTAAAATATTTTTAGATCAGTCTTTGATTGCTCCCACTCAACGAACACAGTCAAGTGCTCAATCTCAACAGACGCAGGCAAGTGTTCAATCTCAACGAACGCAACCAGTTGCTCAAAGTCAGCAAACACAGCCAAGTGGTCAGAATCAGCAAACTCAGCTAAGTATTCAGTCTCAAAATATGCAGCCAAGTATTCAGTGTCAGCAAACGCAGTCAGATGCTCAAGATCAGCAAATGCCACCAAGTATTTCATCGCAGCAAACGCTTCTAAATGTTCATTCTGAACAAACGCAGCCAAATAATCAAGGTCAGCAAATACAGACAAATGCTGAAGATCGACAGCTGCATCCAAGTGCCCATTCTTTGCTAGCACAGCCAAGTATTGAGTCTGAGCAACTACGTTCATGTGTTCCATCGCAGCAAACTCCTACAAGTATTCAATCTCAGCAGACGCAATCTGTTGCTTCAGCGAAACAGACCTTGCTAGGAGATTGTGGTCATGAAACTCAGTCGACTCTGCAGATGCAACTAATCGTTCAAACGCATCACAATGCTGAAAGTCAGCCAGTGCATCCAAATGTTTCAACTTCGCAAATGCTAAGAGGTGCTCAGATTCAGCCGCTGCAGCCAAATGCACAAGGTCAGCAAACACAACAATGTGTTCAACTCCAACAAACGGAGCGAAGTATTGAACTGAAAGAAGAGCAGCCAAGTACTGAAGTTCTACCAACAGAGTCCAACATTCAATTACAGAAAATACAGCTAGAGCCAAATATTCAGTCTCAGCAGATGCAGCCAACTCTTATGGTTCAGGAAAAGCAGCCAAATCCTGAGATTCCGTTAGTTCACTCAAGCTTTCAACCACAGGAAACTCAGCCTAGGCCAAGCATTCAATCTCAACAAATGGACCAAAAACTTCAAAATCAGGATAATCATTCAAATCTTGAAGTTCAACAAACACAGTCAAGTATTCAAACACAGAGGCCAAATATTCAATCTTTACACGCGCAGCTAAGTGTCAAGGTTCTTCCAACGGAGTCAACTGCTCAGCCACAGCAATCATCTAAGCCAAGTGTTCTGTGTGAGCAAATGCAGCTAAATTTTCAAGTTCAAGAGGAGCAGCCAATTATTCAAGTTCCGCGAACGAAATCAAGTTTTGAACTACAGCACACGCAACCAAAGCCAAGTTTTCAGTCTCAAAAAATGCAGCCTTGTATTCAAACTCAGCAGACGCTCTCACCTATACTTCATGAGCAGTCAAAGCAAAATTTCCAAAATCAGCATATACAGCCAAGTGCCAAACAGGAGATGGCATTGCAAAATGTGAAGCCAGAGCAACCCGGGCCAAGTATTCATATTGAGCAGACATTATTGGGTATTCATATTCAGCAAACGCAGCCAAGTGATCATACTAAGCACATGTCGCCAATTCATTCTGAGGAAGCACAATCAACTGTTCGCTCTGAGCAGACGCTACCATTTACTCAAACTACTCAAACGCAACTAGTTGATCGGTCCCAGGAAATACAGTCATGTACTCAGTCTCAACAACTTCAGCCAAGTGCTGAATCTGAGCATGCAAAATCAAATGTAGAAACTCAGCAGACGCTGCTTAGTATTCAGTCTGAGCAAGCAAAATCAAATGTAGAAACTCAGCAGACGCTGCTTAGTATTCAGTCTGAGCATGCAAAATCAAATGTAGAAACTCAGCAGACGCTGCTTAGTATTCAGTCTGAGCAAGCAAAATCAAGTGTTCAATCTGAGCACACGCTGTTTAATGTTCCAGCTTTGCATGAACAGCCAAAAATTAAACCCGAGCAGACACAACGACATGTCCAAACTCAGTATTTGCAATCTGGTGTCCAGCATGATCAAATTTTGCAAGCGCAGCGAAATATCCGAATTCTACTGGATCAATCATTTGCTGAAACTCATTATGTGACGCCCACTGTTCGTCCTGAGCAAATTTCAAATGTGCATATCCAGGTAGAGCAGCGAGACGCTGAAATTGTACAGACGCTCTCAGGTACTCAAGCTTCATGTTATGCTAAAGATCAGGAAATGCAGCCGAGCGTTGAGCCTCAGCAAGCGGAGCCAGATGATCAAAGTCAACAAGTGCGGTCAGAGGTTCAAGCTCAGTTGATGCTACTTCCAAATAAAACACCTACTCAGCACGGCCAGTTATCACCTTTGTCATGCCATGATAATGATGATAACTCACTCTCAGGCATAGATAATAGAAATGTACAGTAGTCATCAAATTCAAATATTTCATGAATGTTCTTGTGACCTCTCTTATTGTCTTCTACTTTAATTGTCAGACTTGAATTGTTGAATAATATTTCTTGCAAATTTTGTTGCTGATAAGGTTTATTATTTGTTGTAGATTTTGTTCATAGTCGTTTTGAATTTGTTCAGTTTTCGAATATGCTGAAAATTTTTCAGTTGACTTTTTTCCATTTTAATTTACTTGTTCAGATGCGTGATAAACTTGCGCTTGCTTAAGTAGTAAATGACAGTTTTTGATGGAATGAATGCCGTTATTTAGTTCAACAAATTTTGATGATTGCCTTAGAGTTTGTCCTACTGTACCTGTTGATTGTGATCATGAACTGGACTATTTGGAAAGTATATTTTTCATAAAATCGTTGATGCCGGAAGCATCGAGATAATAGTGTACCCTGCAAACGAAATTTAAAATTTCAATACATTTGTGAATTTATAAAAATATCTTATTAATGATTTAGTTCATTGTTCTAATGACTGAACTAGCCACTACAATTTAATCCAAAATTTATGGAGCAGTTTTTGTGTTGGAGTTGAGCTAATTACTATAGTTGACAAGAGCGTTTGGTGTTTTTTAGTGAGCAACTTCTGTTAGATTACATCAGTCATAAAATGCTTGGAATTCATAGTAGATGGAAGTAAACTTGACTAGCAGCGGGTACTGGTGTTACAGTGGTTGAACGTGGGACATGCGGTGTATATAAAATGTTTGCTATTAGCTTGGTCACATGTATAGTATAATAGTTGTGGTATTACCACAAGTTCATTTGATGATTCTGAATGGTTTTGCAGTAGTTAGATGTATATAGTGGGGTGTATTTCGTTTGGCAAGACTGCTTTTGCTGGAATCGGGGTGGTAGGACATGACCTAATAGTATCTGACATCTGTTGCTAGGCGGATATGGAACCCTTATGTACTTTTTATACGGTCTAACACAAAACATGCCACGAGTAGAATGAAGTTGAAGATGTAGTGCAGTTTGATAAAACGTAGCTGAAATAAGAACAGACCATTTTCATACATTTACATGTGCCGTACAGACGTGGATTCAGTTTGACATTTGTAGCTGCAGTGATACTCGTCCTGTATATCCGTACAATTTATTTGCATGTGTTTATTTCGTTTTATTACTGTATGACGTTTGTATAACACACGTATGTATGCAAACGAGTGGGCGAATGGGTAATAAAGGAGTGCTTTGAAGACAAGAGATAAGATGTGCGAATCTTAACAAAGTAGTAAATGCGTATAAGCCTTCCCGTGTGGATGTAGTGCAGGTGAGCAGAAAAGTTAGTGTCGGTGGTAAGTTAGTGAATCGTGCGTATTGGAGAACTGGTGTGCAGTGCATTAATTCACTGTGGTTGGAATAGAGTGGAATGAAGTCAGTATGAGTGTATTATTTGAGGTGCGTTGTTGGAACGAGTAACAGTTGTTGGGCATATCTGCTGATTTTGCTCGCGGATTGGAGAAAAGAGGAAAGGAGGAGAGAGCTGCACGTGTATTTGTAAGTATACCTACGCTTGTACTCGTTTCGTCCAGCTTACTTAACTTAACTAACATGCTTAAGTAAATGTTAGTTAATTATTGCTTGTTTGATTATCCGTAGGGCAACCGTTTATTGCGCAGTTTTTGTGCTACTTACATGTTTATCTTTTATTGTCTCGTACACTTAAATTTCAATCTGTGCGTGCAAGATGAAAAGAGTATTGCAAGCTTAAAAGAAATATTGCCAAGTTACTTCTCTCGTTGCTTTGTAACTAAAATAATATGTGAAAATGGTGAAAAAATATGCTGTTACCCGTTATTTTATTTGTCTTACCTTCTCCACTTGCTTGATCACATCTATTTCTTATTTGAAATAACGTGCTCTACCTTATACATTTAATTTGAAACTGCTATTATTCACGTTAGGAGCATCTCATGTATGGTATAGTCCCAATGCTCAGGTATTGCAGTGAGGAGAAAATTTGAACAGAGCAATGGCTCAGAAAAAGTGAATTATTCATTCCTTCCCGTGATATTGTTAAAAATGAGTCATGATTGAGGGTGATGACGAATGTGCTTTGTATTTAGCTAATGATATCATACTAGCAATATTGATTAATTTGTTCATTTATAAAGTAATCGTAGATTACGTTTAATTAACACGTGTGACCTTTATTAATGGTTAGTATGTGTTCTGTTATAGTTATGCTTGATAACTGTATATCATTGTGAAAGAGTATCATGGTAATCGCTTCTTTAAATGCTTTTGGCATAAATTTAGACTTCTTGCATTTTGAATGTAATGCTTAGTGCATAAATAATATTCAAACAAGAGTGAAAATTTTTCAGACGAATATGACAGCTCACTGGCTAGTGAAGCTTGGTTCGTGCGATCTAGTTTCATATATCTTTATTGTGATATTTTCTTTCGCTATAGGCCAGGAATTTAGCTCTGATGATGGTATTGTTTTGAAGTATTCGCAATTCTATCTTCATAAAATTTTTGTTTAAAATCAATACTTGATGCCTTCAATTCGATTTCAAAATATCCTGAAATATGATTCATTTTGAGCCTCAAAAATTGATGCTTTACTAGAAGCCCTATAATGCAAACAGAAATATAGGATTATGTGAATTTTTGAAGTTTTTTCAATAAATATTTGAAGCTCAGAGCTATAGCCAAACTATTTTATTGGGTTGGTTTGAGTTCAATGCATTTTCAGAGTAAAGTTTTTTTTACTGTTGTAATTTTAGCATCACTTTAAGCTTTTCCAAGTAAGTTATTTTATTGCAAAGAGACTGTACAAAATTTAGGAATTGAGCAAATCAAGAACTCTGATCTCATGCTATCATTACGTACTTATTTTTTGCAGTGATACCGGAAGTAGTGGAATCAAAAAAAGATTTTCCATGCTATTCTCTACCTCGTGAGAACTATACATGCAGTGCATGCATTCAGTTTCATGATACCTGTGCCTGGTGCAGTCAAGCAGTTTGTTATTATTTTGTTAAATACAGTATGTTGGTAAATTTAATATCAAATGTAGTGAGTATTGTGGATTTCTTTTATTAAACGGAAGTTTAAACATTCTTATGATTGTTAATTCGCTTTCTTTAAGAAATTATTTTTATAGAATTTTGACGACGAAAGTCAGCATCCCCGATGTGATACTTTGGAGCGGCTTATTGAACACGGTTGTCCGGAGTACGAAATTGAAAATCCTCAAACAACTGTGAAGATAACTGAGGTATGTTTGAACATCACACATGTAATATTATTGTTTGGTTCCTCTCAAAAGGCAAATTAATTTTTATAAATCAAATACAATGTTTTTGTTTTTCCTGTTTCGTTACTAACAAACTGGTAGTGCCAGTCACGTTCATAATTGTCAAATGCAGTAGCATATTGGTTTGCTTTGATCATTTTCATCCTTATAATAGTTTTCTAGAATCAAGAACTCAGTAATGCTGGGGATCTAGCAGTCGAGGAAGAAGCAGTTCAGTTACGACCTCAGAGAATGGTAGTCAATATACGACCAAGTAATATTAGTTTCCTTTCAAAATATAATTAGCATAAATCTTCGACTGAAGTTGATTCGATTCATTAAAACGATAATAAAGTTTTCTTTAAAAACGTGACGAAATTTCTGATCTAATTTTAATATCCGTTTATATTCAAGTGCAAGTTTCATGCTTGCATGTTTCTTTTGACCTCATAATGTTCTAGAAGCTCGTGTTCGGTTTCAAGTGACCTATCGACAAGCTGTGGATTATCCAGTAGATTTATATTATTTGATGGACCTGTCATATTCCATGAAGGATGATAAGCAAAAGTTGTCTGAATTAGGAGATTTATTAGGCAAAGTTTTTTTTTTTTTTTTTTTTTTT